GATATTAATAAGGAACCAGCAGATCAAGTAGCTTTTGGAATAAAACACCAATTTTTTTAAAATTAAACACTATCTAAAGATTTGCATCGAAGCGTTTATTTTTGATAGTGATTTTAATCACTGTCAGATATCATTTACTTGATCCAACTATGCCACGTCACCACTGTGCCGCGACCCCCCTGTGCTGGGTTTTTTATAACTAACATTATACTAAACAACTAAAAGTGTCTCTCCACTTATCGACCAGCTAGTCTGATCTCAGCCACAGTGCAGGCAATCGGAGTGTAGGCACTAGCATTATCTATTGTGCAAAGAACCGAAATTGAGCTCGCATCTACCCTAGATCACTATTTGGACGACTGAAAAGACGTAGGCCACTTGAAAATAGTTTGTTGCACAGGACAGTTATGTTGCTTAGAAGTTATTTATTTGCTTTATAAATTATTAAATAATAAATATATTAAAGTAAAACACCATATACAAGGTTAAGGACTATACTACATAAATATACAAAAGGTTTTTACAAAAAGACAGAGTTATAATAAACTTAGACTTCACCTTGGGTAGATTTAATATAGAATTGTACTAGAAAAGTAGTTACACGCGAGTTAATAATAATATAAACCGTATAAATAAAATTGCGTACATTAATGCGTAAACGTATACATCGATAATTGTTACATCAACAACATCATTCATCTCAAGAGAATATCAGGATAGTCAGAGGTAAGTGAAACATTTGTTTATATAATAAGTTTATAATAGATCCTTTACTGAAGAATTTTTTAGTAATAAACAATTAGAACAAGATAGGTCATTGAGAATAAACTAAAATATTTTTATAAAAAACACGATACTTGTGACTCGNATTAGAACAGGATAGGTCATTAAAAATAAACTAAAATATTTTTATAAAAAAATACGATACTTGTGACTCGCAGGAAATTAGTGTACGCGTTTACCTGTGTAGGAGCTAGGTAGTGACCCTTCTTTGTAATTCCATCTTATTCATACATTAGACGTCTTTACACAAGCATACATACCCCGAGATCCCTTTCTAATTCATTTTGTAGTTACTGCCGGGTATCTTTAGCCACTTTTACTTTCCATTGGTGCCCATCCTTTTTACACTACGCCCGCTACGATTATTATTTCCTTATTGGCCACCTGTGTTACATTTCTTTACATTTCTTCCCTTTCACACCCCGAACCCCAAACACACTTAACAACATTCCTTTGCCACAACACACCATATCCTTTTTACTTCTTTTGTTTACCACATACTATCCATTTTATCTCTTTTTGTTTATTACACTTTTAAGGGTTTTTTATTATTTTAATGAAATATTTGTATTTTATTCATCTCTCTTCTGTGTATCTTGTAATTAAAATTTATTACATTTTAACTTGGCTATGTTTGATGTTGTTTAATCAAGATTTTTCACAGATATTTTATATGTGTTATACCTATAAAGAGACATAGTCAATTCTGTTATTTTTTGCACAAATATCTACTTTGGCAGTTAATAAGGGCATAAATTCTGGTAGTAAGATATATTTCCAGCTTTAAGTGTCAATTTAAAGTATAAATTAATCTATAGTATTTCTATGAATTATTAAATTTAAATTAGTTAAGAAAATGAGGCTAAATCACAACGGTGTTATTATAGAATAATACTAGAATTTATATTTAAATATTAACCTATACAGAATAGAATTTAATATTCACAAAAGAAAAAATTTAATTAATTAAAAAACAATTAAAAGGAAAATATCGATGATTTCAAGCAAAGTTAATAAGAATTTAAATGTAATTAATAATTTACAGGATAAATACTTACGTGATCCTACAATATCACAAGGCATAGAAATGAATAGATAAACGTATTTTTTAATTCCAANTTTTCTACAAGATCAAATGGCATAGAAATGAATAGATAAATGTATTTTTTAATTCCAACATTCAATATATATGCGGGGTAAAAATTAAACAGTGTTACAAATTTACAAAAAAATAATGTAGTTTCCAAAAAAAGATGACATCATGTTACGCCTATTTTTCAGTTTTTTAAAGTTGATTTTCACGAAAATTAATTTAACTATAAAAAGTTGATTTAATACCAGAACTTTTTTTAGGTTCAATATAAATATTTGAAATTACCATCATTAAATTATAAATTTTATGAAGTTTTAAGTAATGGTATTGTTTAGATTGATATGTGATTAGGAACATGTATAATTAGTATTATTAGTATATTTATGAGAAAAGTTCACGATTTTGTTAAAGTTACTGTTTTTTTGCAGTTATATCATCATAAATAATTTAAATAGAAATTCTAGTAACTTCTAGCGTATAAAAATATGGTGCGATTAAAATTTTCAGATCTTAATTAATTTTTTTAATTATTATAAAATTATAAGAAACAGGTTAAAATGAATTTCAACAACATATAATAGAACAAAATAAAAAAAAATAGTTACACAATAATACACTGAAGTCCTGGGAAGGTTAATGATACATTAACAGAAAAGCCCTTTTATAGTTTTAAACGACAAACGTTCTTTTTTACAATCTTTTCTTGTACAATTTTGTGTTTTTAGCTTCTATGTGAATTTGAGAAATTTTCGTTTGACTGTGATGTGCGTTTTTTTCTCCGATCTCACTGGACTGATTTTAATGATTAATACATAAAAAAAAACCTAATTCTAATCTAATTGAAACTATTAGTGAGTAAAATTTGAAAAAATCATCTGAATTTTAAAAATAAAAATCTCAATATTATGCTATATTATTTTTCTATAGAAAATATCGCTACCGTAAAGTGATGAGCAAAAAAAAAAAAACATTAAAACTCTGTCACTAGTCATAACTAGGCTAGTAAAATTCGAGATGGGTTTTTTAAGGTCGTGGGCTCACGGGTGTAAGCCCTTAATCCGGTTTGAAAGTAATCTACCCATGTTAAAATAAATCGTCCGATAAAATAAAGTAAATTTATTAGTGCATTTGATTTTTAAATTTTCCTGTCGTGCCTGTGCTCATACATGCGCATATGCTAAAGATAACACTTAACACGATGCCACATATTAGCATTACGCTTATTATACTTATATCTTGTTTCTCTCATCAGTTGCTTTATTACATCGCGATTCTAGCCCGATTACAATATTCCCGCTTTTTAAGCAAGTTGCAAAGTCTATCTGCTGAACCACGAACGACCACCGAGCGACAACGGCGAACGCTCTCTCCGATTTTTGACGTCTCACGTGTAACGATTAAAATTTTTTTACGGTACATTTATTATAAACTAGTTATTACTTAATCATTTAAAAATTTATTAGTAATGCAGAAGACTTAATGAATTACTTAATAATTAGTGGNTTATTAGTAATGCAGAAGACTTAATGAATTACTTAATAATTAGTGGACCTAATTAATAAGCTAAATATGTTAATATTATATATTAACATGTTAATAAATAAACCTATAAACATTAAAGAATGCTATTTTTTGTTAAAATTGTCGATTTTGTATTTTATTTTATTTTAAAATCCCTAACAAAAGTTTTTCTTATGATTTATGTAAAATTATTTACAATGATCTTAATCGCGAGCACATGTTCTAACATTTAATAAACACTACTTTTGCTTTTAAGAGTTTTTATTATACAATAGTGAATTTGTCATTCGAACAAAAAGAACACGAATCAGAAATTCAATGTATAATAATTACATTCATCAGTAAAGTTATTATAAATTAATTAGTGCACAATGATACAAAAAACAATTTTCAGTATACCTCATCATTTATTAATGTGTATTGCTTATGTTCTGCTGTTAAATTAGCTGTAGTATCGTGTAATAAATAAATAAGCTAAATATGCTCCAATAAACATTAAAGAGTGCTATTTTTGTGTTAAAATTGTCGATTTTGTATTTTATTTTATTTTAAAATACCTAAAAAAAGTTTTTCTTATGGTTTGATATGATAATAGGTTTCGACTACAAAGTTAAATAATATACTTTGTAATTTATTAATTTTTTAACTCTATTTGTGTGTGTTACTACCAGTCTATAATATTCCAAATTTTTTTGTTACATATTGTTATATAAATAATTTCTAAAAAAAATTATTTTAAGCTACGTGAATTTAACAAAGGAATTTTACAATTATAACAAATTTTATAATACGCTCAGTTGAGTATATATCTTTTTAATAATTTTCTATGATTGGTTCATTTAGTTAAAGTAAATCATTAAAATTAATTAAGTTCTTAATATTTCAATTGCAGAATATGCTATTTTAAACTTCGAATTTCAGCCATTCTTATTTCCAGTTTTTTAATCTCATTAAAGTTAGAAAAAACCCTAATTGTGCTTAACCAAACTTTTGCTGATTCAGCTTCATCTATTTTAATATTTATATTAAATAAATAAATGAATTGGATGTATTAGCATGAATATAAACATAAATGTTTGATAATATGACTACCAGAAAATGTTAAAATTTGTAATGTTTCAG